TATTCTGACAAATAGGCAAAAACTGGGGAAAATGGGGTAAATTCCTGGCTAAAAAGGAGTCAAAAGAGGGAAACATGAGTCTCTGGACACTGAAGCAGGTTCTGGTAAATAGTAGAAGTCTTTGTGTTAAATAGCAGAAGGTTTCCAAGATGGAAAGGTGGATCCGTGAGGAATTGCAAAGGGCATGCAGCTACAGCATTCCTAGGCACAAATTGTTAATGTTAATTGTCTGTTGAGAACTGTGCTGCTTTAGTTCACAAGGTAAATACGGGATCCTGTCCAGAAATACAAAAAGAGTTCTCATTTTCTGCCCTTCTAACAGTGTGTTTAATTTTTTTAAGTAAGTATAACAAAAGATTTTTTTAAGATAATTAATCTGAAAGGATGAGGGTAAATATCTCAATCCAGGCCACTGAGGCATCATGTATGCTAGAGCTTCTAACACATCACGTTTTCATGGAGAATTTTCTACAGGCAAGACACATGCTGAGCTTTAGGAGATTCAGAGGTAAGTAAGATAGTTGTGTACTCAAGCAGCTTTAAGTTTAATAAATAGATACAAAATACTCATAATACAAGGTAAAATAAAATTATCAAAAATATACTTTAAAAGGGTCAAATTATGTTGGGAATTAAATAATCAATTAATTTTTTAAAGATTTATTTATTTATTTGTTTATTCATTTATTTATTCATTTATTTAATTCTACAAGCACTGGGTACAGTCAGAAGCGCGGGAGGGTGAGAGAATTCACCAGAGCCAGAGCGGGGAGCAGAGCAGGCAGAAGGACCGAAGCACACTGCTGACGGGAGCAGCGGGCGGCAGGCGAGGTCTGCGCGCCATGTGGGACCCGCCTCCTGTGGCCAGGGAGCAGCCAGGGATCGAACCGGCGCCGCAGAGGCTGTGGGCAGCTTAGAAACCCAGCGCTCAACCGCTGCGCCACCGGGGAGGCCCAATAATCAATTAATTTTTGACAAAAATACCAAGACAACTCAATAGGGAAAACGTCACTTTTCAAATAAATAATGCTGGAAAAATTTGATAGCCACATGAAGAAAAAGGAGTAAACCTCCACATATACTTCACACTATATACAAAATTAAACTTGAAATGGATTATAGACTGAAATGTAAGAATTGATATTACATGAAACTTATAGAAAAAATAAAAGAAAATTAATGCCCTATTGTGGGACAACTCCTTAAATACAACACACAAAAAATATAAAGAATTCTTATAAACCAAAAGTGATAAAACAAATAACTCAATTTAAAAATGGATAAAATAATTGAAGCGATTTCACCAAAGAAGATATGTGGACAACAAATAAATGCATGAAAAATATTCAACATTAATCACCAATGAAGTGCAAATTAAAATTACAATGATATACTAGACATTCCAGTTAGCGTGGTTGAGTTTAAAACCACTGACCACACTATGTGTTAGCAAGGATGTGGTGCAACTAGAACTTTTATACACTGGTTGTGAGTATACAAAATGGCAAAAGCATGTAGGAAAACAATTTGAGAGTTTCTTAAAAAGTGAAACATACATTTATCATATGATCAAATCAGATATTACTAGGTATTTACTGGTATTCATATAGCAATATTTCCATAAAATTAGTATAAAACAACAACCATTAATTACCTCACTTTCTGTGTTTCAGGCGTCTGAGCATTTTTTAGCTGGGTCCTTTGCTTTGGGGTTTCACAAAAGCTTATCTGGGGCTGAACTGGTGGAGGATACCTCTTCAAGATCATATGGCCTTTAACAGCATTCAGCTCTTTGTGGGTTGTCAGACTGAAAGCCACAGTTCCTTGTGGGTTGTTGGCCAGGTGTCACTCTCAATCTCATGTTTCTTCGTAGCATGGACACTTGCTTTTTCAACATCAGCAAGGGAGATAGTCACTCCTAGCAAGGTGGACTCACACTATTGTATAATGTAATCATGGGCACATAATCAGATACATCATCTTTATCATTATTGATTAGAAGCAAATCGTATCATTCATCAATATGCCTCAATAAAGTTGGGGGGAAGGGAAGAAGCAAGTCACAGAGTCCACCCACACTTAAGAAGTAAAAGATTATCCAAGAACATGGATAACGAGGAGATAGCCTTGGCATTTGTTCACATCACTATCACTGAAGAGAAATAAAACATATGTCCACATAAATGCGTGTACAGAAATGTATAGATTTTGCAGTTTTATATGCATTAGCCAAAAATTGGGTTGAAAAAGACTTTCAAAGTGCCTCCCTGGTGGCGCAAGGGGTTAAAGCACAGCACTGTGAAGCTATCCACAGCCTCTGCAGCACAAGTTCCATGCCCTGCCAGCCAGGGCGCTACCCACATGGTGCAGCAGGCCTCTCCTGTCTCGCCTACTGCTCCCCTCAAAAGTGTATTTCAGTCACTCTATCTGTTCTGTTCCCCACTCTGTCTCTGGTGAATCATCTCACCCCCCGCACCTCTGGCCTGTACCCCAGTTCTTGTATGCATAAATAAATAAATCTTTTTAAAAAAAAGAAACAAAATGACCCTCAAATATGCATCAACAGGTGAATGGATAAGTTATGGTATATCCATAATGGAACACTCAGCAATAATACATACAATTATACACATGATTTTCAAAACAATGATACAAAGTAAAAGAAGCAGGCAAAAGAGAGTACAAACTACCTTCTAATTGCACTTATATAAAATTCCAAATATAGAAAACATAAACTAATATACAGTGATAAAAAGTAGATTGATGGTTGCCTGGGAGAAAAGGGAGAAGACAGATTAATGAGGACCAATGAGGAAACTTCTAAAATAGTAAATATGTTCATTATTCTGGTTGCAGTAATGGCTTCACCAGTGTACACAGCTGTCAAAATTCATCAAATTGTACACTTTAAGGATGTGCAGCTTACTGTACCTCAATAAAACTGCTAATATACTTCAATGAATATTTTTAAGTTTTTTTTTAAAAAAACAGTACTTGCTTTTTATATGGATACCATGTCACATCACGGCACTTTGTTAAAATTTAAATGTTTTTATTATTTACCATGGAATAAAGTTGTTGTAGAGAAAAAATATAATTGCACAAAGTAGTTAGGATAAGCTATATGAATGAGGTAACATTTAAATGGACTTTAAGGGCAGAAAAGATTTTGATGCTACAGAAATTTCCTGCAGAGGTTAATGTGTTCATTTATTCAACAAATATTCATAAAACTTGTGTACTGAGCCATGTAGTTAGCATTGTGAAAACCCTTTTAACCACTCTTAGCAAATTTCCAGGCTGAGTTTATTAAATTAGGGGAAGGCCAAGGAAATTATGCTCAAAATTTAACTGCAGTTTTCCTAGTGCTTTATTACTATCTTGAATAATTCCTTCCCTGCTTGTAAGAATAATTGTTTCCCCATTATATAAATAAATTCATTGTAAACTAATATGCAGTTTTATACATGTGATCAGTATGCATGTGGTTAATAATTTTAAAGTTGCTATATTAACTAAACAATTGTGTAGCTCTAATTACTCTGAGCAATAAGGCCTCTTAATCACCTTGAGATTCTATTTTCTCTCTTTGAAGAAGTATGGATTTCAGGTAACTATGTAACTTATTGTCCAAACTTATGAGAATGCTGGATGCTGATAATTATTCTGGGACAATGATAATAGAACTAAAACAGGGCTGGAATGTATAGTCCTGTGGCTGGACTACTCCATTCCAAGGTGGCTGGAATGTATAGTCACCCCAGTTACAAAGGAGATTTTGTTCTAAGGTTACAAGTACAGATTCCTGAACTTTACCCCATACCTACTGAATCAGAATCTCTGGAAAACTTTAAACTAGTGGATTTCATGTTAGGGAAGTCTTGGACTCTAAAGTGATATATTAAAGGTTCTTACAATTCTAAAAGTCTTTTTTAATAAGGGAATTTTGAATATGAACTGGATACTATATATCAAGGAATTATTTTTTTTAGTAATGATGATGTTGTGATTATCTTTGGGAAATATGTGTGGCTACATATAGGAGTGATGTGTCCGTGATAGTTTCATTTTACTTTCACATGATTCAGGTAATGCATACACAAACGAATGAAACAGTGAGTATACACATGTTCACTGGACTACTATTCCAATATCTGTCTGTTTGAAAGTTCTCATAATAAAACGTTGAGAGGAAAAGACTATTTGGGAGAAACTCTTAATAAGTAGACCGTATTACAAATATGACTTTTAAGAAATATGTACAAAAAGTATCAATCCAAGCGACTACTAAAAATTTAACCTGTATTTCCTCTTCTTGGGTTTTCTTCCTAAGAAAAAATAAAGTGACAAAGGTAATCACTGCAGATTGCTTAAAACAGTGTTACTTTTTTTACAATGATCTAAATATACAACTATGCGTGTTTAATTACTGTGCGGGGAGATTATTACACAACCATTAAAAAACCTGTCAAGAATATATTGCATATTGTCCCATGACATTACATAACTAGGTGCAAAAGGAATCTGAAATTTTATCTGTGCTAAAAGTATGTCAGTTTAAAATTCACTGAACAACTGATAAGACCAGGCTCCTTAACCTGATTCAGCTAGTTGGAATATCCACAAAATCGTTTAGCCGTCTACAAAGACAACAAACATTACGTGTAAGCTGCTGCTGAACAGGTCCCCAAACATCACAGCAAAACCCATCGCAATGTGTGGACTAAATGCCCCTAAATGATGATGGCAGAAAAATACTACCTGTCATACAGGACGGGCATGTGAGCCTTTCCCTCCGCGAAAGGCTTCTGGTCCTAGACTGTATCTTACTTTCACCAGAATGAGATGTTCCAGAGTCCCAGGCAAGGGAGGAGACTGTACCCTTGCCCAGGAAGCTGGAAACTGCTAATATCAGCGCAAGGTTTCCCAGGCCCTTCAGCTGAGAACCCCAGCTCCCGACAATTCCCCTGTTGCTAGGCTTAGTTGCTAAGGCACCAAACGTCTCGCAGGAAGAGGGACCGGTGCACTCCCTTTAGGCGTCGTAGCGAATCCTCTCCGGGCCGAGCAAATATGTTCCGGAAGGAAACACTGAGCTCCTCTAAGAGCGACGGAAAGACGAGGAGAAGCTGGGAGTGACGCCCTGGGCCGCGGAGGATTGTGGGAGGAGGTTGTCTCCACTTTCTCCTCCCCCCTCCCCCTCCCAGCCAAGATGTCTGACATGGAGGATGATTTCATGTGCGATGATGAGGAGGACTACGACCTGGTGAGGCGCAGCGGATGGGACCCTGGGGCTGGAGAGGGTGTCTGGCTTTAGGGTCGGGGCAGGAGAGGCAGCGGCCTCGCCCCGTAGAACGTGCGCTCCTTCCAGCCGCTCCGGGTGCAGTGACAGGACGGGTTTACCTCCTCCCCCTTCCCGCACCGGGCCCGGGCCCTGCTTCACTAGCTTGGGGGAGGGGATGGTAAAAAGACAGGGAAGGGGGTCCCGGGGGTGGCGTGTTTGGGTTTACATGGACACCTCGGCCTCCGGCGTCCGGTTCCAGGTGCCTCCTCCCCCCTCCCCACCGCGCGATCCGCTTCGGGGACCGTGCAGCGGTCTAGGCCCCGGCGGGGCCCTTTCGGGACAGGCGCCCCGGGCCCCCTCTTCTTCACACTTAAATTTCGCGGGTGCAAAATGCTGGAAGAAGGGCCTGTAAATTGGGGGGGGCCTTGCTGCCCCCAGGCCTGTCCGCTGAAAGCCACTTTTGCGTCTCCTGGAAACATAGCTTCATTTAGTCTTGTCCAGGGTCCGTTTGGATTTAAGGTGAAGGTGCAGGGGAGAATTCTGAGCAAGAATAACTGCGAAACGGTTGTTCAATTACTTGTGTTACTGAAAGAGAAAAACTAGGAAGGAGGTTTTACTATTTGTTTGCTTGGGGAGGAGGTAAAATTAGGGGATTGACTCAGTGACTTTCTTGGCTTACAAATTTACCAGGAGTCAAAGTTAAAAATATCAACAGTGTAGAAATGAACTAATTTTTGTAGCTGAATGGTGATTTTTTTTTTTTAAACAGAGGTTTAACTTACGAAGGAATTTATTGTGGACAGGGGGAATTAAATTCACTGGTATTTCTGGTATATATTCAAAAACGTTATCTGTGTAGGCATTAAGAAAACTTATCAGATCAAGAATTAGCGTTGACTTTATTTTGCTGGTGTTTGGGGCATGGTTCTTGTATGTTATGGTGATGCTGCATTATAAAGTTGTAACGTAAATGCTTAGGGAAGACTGACTGCTATATCTTATATTTTAAGTGCAGGTGTTTTCAAGATACTAATTTAATGCCATTTTGGAGCCTCCCTGGTGGCGCCGTGGTTAAAGTCTCAGGGCTATCAAGCTATCACCAGCCACTGCAGCATGGGTTCGATCCCCCGCCTGGGAGCTAACCCACTTGGCCCAGCAGACCTCTCCTGTCTCCCCCGCTGGTCCCCTCAGCAGTGTATTTCAGTAGATCCGCTTGTTCTGCTCCCCATTGTGTCTCTGGTGAATCCTCTCACCACCCCCCCCCACCCCCGCAATTCTAGCCTAGACCCCAGTTCTTATATTCATAAATAAATAAAAATAAATCTTAAAAAAAATGCCATTTTGATTTAGTACAATTCCTTTGTATATCATCTCAAATTAATCGTTCTATTTTAAATGGAGATACGCTTGCAAAAGAGTGAGGGAAATACTTGCTTCAAGTCAAAGTAGAGGTTTTGATGATTCTTAAATGTAAAGTTTTATTAATAAGGACTTTTGCCTTGCATTTTGTCTTTGCACATCATGCCAGTTGTAGGCAGAGCCTTCAGTTAGTTAAGAATGTGTAACTTGTGATATCTTAGCACTTTCATTCATTACCTCTTACAGTTGCCTTTATAACTGTGGAAGCGTTTCTTTTAAATGTTTGTGGTTTTAAATGATTTTGCTTCTCTCTTTCCTAAGCAATAGTTTATTGAATACATGATTTATTAGCACTATGATTGTCTCTCTTTCCTAAGCAATAGTTTATTGAATACATGATTTATTAGCACTATGATTAACCAAAAGATCATCACTGAGAATGTAATGTAGGAATAGCAATGAGACTCTTAATGTCCCGTGAAATCATGAATTTTTTCAAGAATTTTAGTTAAACATCACTTAACTTGACTGTTTCTCCAGCCTTTTAGGGCCTACCCTGCATGTACAATATAAAGTTGAATGTGTAGTTATATTAACTTTTTTTTATTTCTTAATCAGAAAAGCTAAGATTTTGTACTACTACATTATTAAATTATCTCCCCCCCCCCATCCTGTTAAGTAGTTGTCCCTCCTCCCATATCTCTGTTAGGTAGATAAAATTCTGATTTCCCACTCAGATGTAAAACGGTGAAAGCCTTTATGCTCTACTAATAGTTTAACTCTCTTGTTAGCATAACATTTATTTAGTATTTTTTTTCTCGGTTAATTTCCTTAAACCATTATGTTTTTAAAAAGGGGGAGTTGGTTGCCATTTCGTGTCTACATATTACCAAAAGAGAAGTGTTTTTAAATAGTTATTTGCCTTTTTTGTTTATTTTTGGGATTCAAAGAGTGCTAGTTTAAGGAAACTTTTTTTATTAGTGTATTGTGTTTTGGAAAGTTTGCCATCACCTCCTTTTAGTCAAAATGTTAACTAGCGCCATGAATATTTTTGATCATAGATATATTCAGCATAACTTTTATAGGTTGTCCTTGATAAATTGTAATGTTCTGAGTCACTTTTTGTTTTTTCCAATAGTGGAAATAGGTAGGATACAAGCAGAAAAAGTAAAAATCTGTTTCTAAATCTCTGTTGTTTTTAATGCTAGAAACTAAAGAATGATTTGTGAGCAAGATCTAAAAGAAGGGAGAACCAATTTGATTAAAAAAGAAGAAACAAATAAAAAGCATTAAATATGCTTGACTTCATATAAGAGGCAGAAACAGGAATTTTCTAAGCATGAGAATGTAGTAGTGAATCGAGAAGCTGGGGATGGTACTGATATATGTCTTAATCCATTGAAGTTTTACAGATTTAGAATTTTTTCTGTTTCTTCCTGGGTTGCTTTCCTTGCTTAGTGGTTTAATTGCCCTCACGTTGCATTCACAGATGTAATTCGGCATCTTCCTAATATTATAACCCCAAAGGCCTGAGAGTCTTCCTTGCTAATTCTGGCTGGAAAACCTTCAGCAAGTACTTTGATTGACCCAGCTCAAATCTGTGTGGCCAGTGGCTGGCCCTCCTTTGTGGGAGGGGTGCTATAATTGAAAACCTTCAGTTAGGAGAGGAAGGCATCAGTGCCCATGCTATCATAGTGAACACACAGCCACTTATAGATATGTAATCCTGTTTTAAAATGAACAATGATGTAAAAAATGAATTCTAAAAAATGAAAATTATGTAATCCGTATTATGTTATTGGGTGGGAATAAAATACTTTCTTGGGTAGGAAAAATATAGTAAAAATGCCAGGAAAATCTGAAGTATCTAGAAAAGTAAAATTTATTTCCTGTGAACCTTTCACATTGAACTGATGTTTTGGGGAGTTATAGAGTACAAATGATCAACAAAAATCTTACTTTGCTCTTGGGAGGTCAAACTGATTTTGTCATTGCGCAAATTTTTTTTGAGTTCCTCGTACAAAATTGTCTTCAGAACCTGAAGTATATTTATTTAACCTAACTTTTTAAAATAATACCTGCACATGCTCTAAACAAAATATAAAAAATGTTTGCCTTCCATTGTTCTTTCTCATTTGCTATTCCCCATAGATAACCAAATACACATTTTATCCCTTTTTTAAAAAACCAGGATATGTGTAACGTTTTATATGTGTTTGTGTGTATAGTTCTGCACTTTGCTTTTTAATTTGTTTGAGATATTACAGAGACGTATGCAAAGATCTTGCTCATTTTTACAGCTGCATTGACTGTATGGATGTGTCATGCTTAATATAGCAAGTTCTCTATTGATAAGGATTTGGCCTATTTTTTTTTGCTGCTGTAAACAGTGTGTGCTTTTTTTTAACTTCAGTTATTGCCAGATTTGTCCTTTTTGTAGATGTCAGAGTCACATTTGATAAAGTGGGCTGTTAAACTGGATAGTGCTGTTTTAGTTAGAAACATTTAACTAATGAAGCTAATTTTCTTAAGAATATCAGAAGCGTTACTTAATATGTCATGCCAGTTATATCTAGGATGATTTTACTACTTTCTAAAGTTACTACTTCAAAAAAAAAAAAAAAGTTGGTTTGAAATAAATGTTTTGGTGCATTTTCATAAACACCTGTTGCATACAGAGTACACCCTGTACAGTGAAATTAGAGAGGTTTAAACAAGGATACTAAATGATAAATAGGAGTCAGCTCCTAAGTGCTAAGAACAACATTGATTTAAGGCTTTTCACCCCTGCCTTAAATCTGTAGGCTGTGAATATGCAACAGAATGAATTGAACTTCTGTATTGTATCACAAACAACACTTAGGCCTCAGTGAGAATCAGAAACTTCTATTGGGTTCAGACACAGTATTTGACAGAGAAGAACTTAAAATCCAGTGTGGGTGACTTACTTAAATTTACATGACAAATTGGTGGGATAGTCAAAACAAGAGCTGACTTTTGGGCCTCCCCCGTGGCGCAGCGGTTGAGCACTGGGTTGCAAAGCTGCCGGTAGCCTCTGCAGCACCAGTTCAATCCCCAGCTGCCAGGCGAGGGTCCCACATGGCACGTAGACCTCTCCTGCCGCCCACTGCTCCCCTCAGCAGTGTACTTTGTCAGTCTGCCTGCTCTACTCTCCCCTCTGGCTCTAGTGAATTCTCTCACCCTCCTGCATTTCTGACTGTACCCAGTGCTTGTATAATAAATAAATAAATCTTTTAAAAAAGAAAAAAAAAGCTCACTTTTATGATGTGTCTATGGGAGATGTAATTTGAAGACTAAAAGTTTAGGACAAATAAAAGAATGTTTCAGTTTATACCATAGATAACAAACTAGGACCTATTAGCTTTAGTGAACTTTCTAAAAGTTTTAATGACTTCATGAATGGCTAAACCACAAATGGCTACCTAGGCTTTGGATTATAACTAGTCCTTTCCAATAATGGAACTTTGTCTCTTACTTCTTTGTATGCCCGGCATCTGGTATAGCTGTATAGATGTGGTCAAGGTTCAGCAAACATCGTTTTCCTGGGACATACTTCTTAAGTATGTTCTTCTTAAGACTTCTATTAGCCACAGACATGTGAA